ATAGTTAACCAACATTTCCCATCTGCTGAAGATATAGTCGCTAAATTCATAACACAGACCTCACAGCTGTCAATGGACAGGGTGGAGCGGTCAATTATACCTTAAAGTTGAAGTAAAGCAACTGCCTATGGAGCACTGCACCCGACTATACAACGTGAAGAACTCATAAAAAAAGTAGTACAGGCACCATAAAAAATGTCAGAAAAGTGCGATTTATGCTGTATATGAAAAAATAATGTATATATTTTGAAACACTATAAATTATTTTACTAAAATATACGTTTGAAATGTAAAAAAATTATCGATTCAAATAGTCTGTATTTTTAAAGAAATTTAAGCGTATTTCCATTCTGGATGCTTCAGAAAGCAGAATTTTCAAAAATCTTCGTCATGGAATATCGTCATAATGTTTGCTAAGATTGTGTGTGACAAAATTGTAATAATAATGTAGTAAATCATGTTTATAATTATTTTTATGTGCGTCCATTTGTCATAGACATTTATGGCTGAAACTGGCGTAAATAAAGTTAATTATAAAATTGATATGATACATTATTACTATGATTCTATTGCAAATGATCACAGTAAATATTATGACCATCTTTCTTGAAGAATAGTTTCTTGTAAATTCTGCTTTTCGAAGCATATAAAACGGAAATGTGCTTAAATTTTGTTAAAAATGCAGACTCTAACGATCGATTAACTTTTTACATTTAAAGAGTATAGTTTAGAGAAATATTTTTATAATGTTGCGAAATATATACATTCGTCTTTCACATACAGCATAAATCACACATTTCTGACAATTTTTATTGTGTCTGAACTAATTTTTCTGCGAGTTCTTCACATTGTATAGTCAGGTGCAATGCTCCATAGGCGGTTTCTTTACTTCAACCTTAAGCTCTCTTATAAACATAGTTATTCCTACGCGAATTATATTTAAAGCCAAGTTTGTGCTACTGCGATTGCGTGTGGTACGGCAAAGACTCTAGTGACGTACCTAAGGCTCGAAAGCCTAGTGAGGGAAGACTGAGGCCCAGACATCAAGAGCGGTTGCAGCGATCAAGATTTATTTTAAGCTAAGTATGTTGAATTTATGACACAGAGACTACGCATGTAAAATAATAAATGATTTTAGAGAAACTAATCTGGCTTATGTTGTCTTTTTGGATCACCACTTTTGCTGAAGTTTCTCTGCCTAGTATATGCCTACCGACCCCTGAGCTGAGGTCTCATGTTCTTCCAACTGAGTTGGCGTGAGAAAATTATTTATTAACTTAATTTACACATTTTGAAATAATTTAAAGGATCTGAAGAGACTTCAATACATTTGAATTGCAATTAATAAATACGTACGAGAGGGCTACTCCCATAGTTATGGCCACATAAAGTAAAGTGAATTTTTAAATCAATAACTAGCTACATAATACTTACTATTTGCACAGATATTATTTTAATTCATGATGTTTCAACAAAAATATTTATTTTTCAATTAAATAAAATTTACTTCCGCTCAAGTCTCTGTGAGTAATCATTTGGTCAGTAGCTAGTGGTAGTTTTTGGTTTTTATTTCGTCCTAGTGTCTCCTGTGTGTTTTTCGTAGCCTACGGACAACTGGATGTGGCAATCGTTCCTGAATTGGAAACATATTTGGTAAGATACATATCTGTTGTAAGATTCAGTCAATCTAGGGTGATGTTTTGTGTTACGCTACGTTCTCCGGCTACTACACTACAAATTACTATTACACCATACACTACAGATGAGGGTAGACCGATCTCGCTGGCTGTGCACAACCGATCTCCGTGTCTCAATATTGAATTGCTTTTCTGCCAATACGGTTAGCAATAACGGCGTGGATTAGATTTGCGGTTATAGCACTGTCTGGTAAACAAGAGTTTTGAAATGTTTTGACGGGAATACGTCTTTAAATTTGCGACCATAGTGAGAGGCAATCGAGAGAAACCGATGATAACAAAATCGGTGGATACAGTTTGGCATTGCAGCTCCGAAACTATCGTCTACATTTAAAATTCAATTACACCACTCCATTGCCAAAGGATCAAATAGCATATTACGTTGAGTGAGGACTGCGAATCATCGCGCGTCTGGGGGGGGGGGACGCACAATTTTTATTTCGTTTCTCCGCGTCTCATAAATTCCACGTAGTATATATAACTTTTGACTAGGAGAAGCTACGACGCCCGTTTAGGTTTCACTCGACAGCTCTCGTCAAGGTCAATCGATTGCGGGTTTAAAACATTTGTGTGGCATAGTTGTGTGTAAATTGTATGAGTTTAATGTAAAGAAATTAAAAAAACTCAGCACAATGTCGACTTATACTCGTAAAAAAAGCCAATTCGAAATACAGAAATCGTACACGGTTGGAAAGAGCACCTCAAAAGCAATCCAGCGATACCCATAAAACCCCATATGATCGAGAGAAGAGGCGTCGGTAAAGTAAAAAAAATAAAATGTAAAGGCGTCCGAGAGCGTCAACATAGACGTATTCACGCAAAGCAAACGGCCGTATCCCAAACACAGCCACATCCCATTTTTCTACTTTTTCTAGCCTATTGGTAATGCAGTTTGATTAAATTAAAATTGATAAAAGTAATGTATTAATAGAACAGTGGTTGTCATTTAAAAATTAAAATATAAACAAACACGTTCATCACTGTTGATCATGAGACATTGACAGTTGTGTTCCTTTGCGGTACGTCAATGTTGGGTACATGCGCAGAAGACGAATAAGCGGTCTACCTCATCTTTAGTCGATGTCAGGTAAAGTCTGTATCTGTATCAGTCTGCAACAGGTACGGAAAATAGCTGTAGCTACCCATCTCTTAATCTCCTGTCACACTATCAAGTTTCTGTTTTCAACCATATTCGACAATTAAATTTGAAGACAAAACCGGCCATCAAATTTTTCCTTCCAAAATATTTTACCAAGTAATCTTGAATGTGTTTAAAAATGTGTCACACTGGCTAATTTTTTTACTGGGAGAATATAATTCGGAATATTATTAAAAAATTCTTTTCATAGTGAGATATTGCTTTTGTTTTTCCTTGCGGTCCATTACAGGAAGAAATGTAAGCAATGTAATTTATTTTCGTTTCTTTAGTAAATTAAATTTTTATTTATGATGTATGTTTTCTGCACTGTGAAATAAATGTCTCTTGAGTTTGCAATATTATGTTCAATATTCACTAAAACAGCTTTCATGCCCAGACAGCTTCTACATAAATTAATTATCTTCATAATTTACTTCGTTTCCAGCAATTGTCCGTTATTTTAAAGTTACCTGACGTCCTTTTTTGTCGTACACGATTCTGATTGGCTGAGATCATCAAACATCAAAGAAATTTTAGAACCGGCCGAATCTTCAAATGTTTGATGGAAACAGAAGCCATCCAACTTTCTCAGACAAATATGGCGGCGTTTATGACGTTCCGATGACGTCATAACTGCCCAACTTTATTTGACCAAAACTTATTGGAAGCAGTTTGACAGTGTGACAGGGACTTTAGGCAGTGCTTGCCTTGTAGGCCCGGCGGGCGGGCAGGTAGCGTGCGGCGTGACCGGAAGCTCAGTTGTCGGCGTCATGCTTCGCCGTCTGTGGATGGAGATGCCTTTCCGGGGTGGAGATGGGGATGGCGTGCTGCAACGGCTATAGTCCGTCTCACGTTTAGATTGCAGTACAGAGCTTACTACGGTTCTCGCTGTTGCCAGACCGCTTCAGCTTTGTGACGTAACTGGCAAGCTGAGAAACAAATGGGCGGTGAAGGAAACGGCCTGATTGAGAGAATTTTTATCTGTTTACCTCACTGCCGGCTCGTAAAGGAATCCAATCCTGCGACGCAAAGCTAGGCGGCTCCTTTGAAACTGGAGCATGTAAGAAACCCTATCATTGTGATTGGACGGCGCGCACGCAACGTAGATAGTTTTCTTTTCCGAAGCTGCAAAAAAAATAACTTATCAGTCAACAACGCCCGCAGGAACAAGGACATCGTTAACGACAGAAATCGTGCATTGGAAAGAGAGAGTGTATGCCCATTACACCTCACGCTGCAATCTAAGAGTGAGACGCTCTATAGGAAATGATGGGGGGTGGCGGGAGGTGGGGGCGCCGCCCACATCGCGGTGCGCGGGGCCACAAACGCCACCGCCGTCTTGCGCTACTTTCACCGCAGCTGAGCGAGGTGTGTATGGCTGCCACGCGCCCTGGGTGGGTGTACAGGATGTGCCCTGGGTAACGTTAATAACTTATAGGGATGCTGGAGAAGGGCTACAGCATCAATTTGAGATAGGGGTCACCCGTAAGGAAACGCCTCAGTCGAACGTTATAACCAAAACAGTGCTGGGATGCTGATTATAATGGAATGCAACGGTTAGAGAGTTGTGGAATAATGCACTGCGTTTAATCCCCCCTAAGGTAAAGTCTGCAGACCAGCATTAACATCCTTACCCGAGCCGGGGATCGAACTCGGAGCCTGGAGGGTGTACGGTGACAGACGCGCTAACAACGATGCCATCAGTCGGCCAACTTGTCCTGTAGGCGTAGGCCGTGTCCGAATCGGCAGATCTCGTTGACAAAATTATCATGTGAATAAATTTTGTATAAAAAGCGGTGACGTATTCGGGAATTTTATATTTCGTATTTTGTATCTAGCGGTTGTTCGCAAAAATGCAAAATGACAAAATCAGCGCCATGTTTGTTTTTACTCTAAAAACACATGCGCGAATGCGTAAATAAAATTAGTTTTAAAACAAATAACTGTACATAAAACACACTCGGCAGAACGGCCGATAACCTTAAGATGGGAATTTAAGTCAATATAATTGTGTACAATAACGAATTTATCGTCCAGAAAAATGTAATAGTACTACTTTTTTTACATCATGCATTAAATTCGTTAAATGGCAATTACCGTAAGAACTCTAATGAAGCTCACTGATTATGATTACGAGAATAGAATATAGTAAAGTAGTCATATACTACCCCTAGTGGGACTCGAGCCCACAATCCCCGGTTTAGAAGACATACGCATTATTCCATTAGGCGACAGGGGCACACGACAGCCTACTATAGGCCGTTCACGGTAAAAGTAGCACTTTTGAAAGCCTTGCTTAAGATCTATTTGTATGCACGTTATGTGTTCTTCCGCCGTATGTAAAATTATCATTGTTGTGGGCCTCACCGCTTTCTTCATGCGTCGGTCAAGTGAAACTGTAAAATTATTAGAAAAGCAATTATTTCAAAATCTTGCTAATTTTTACACTGCGGCGCAATAAAAAAAAAAAAAACAGAAGGCTATATAAATAATTTAAATTATCAGAAATTGTTACCCAACACTTTTATTCGACGTTAAGATATGGATCTACTTTTCCCTCCATTGTTACAATTTTGACTGGGCATTCGTATATACTCCGTGGAAGGGTGCAGGACATTGTCAATTTGCCGTCTTTCGGCTCTGTTGGGTCGTCTACAGGTGTTGCATAAGCACGTAGACCACCTGCCGACACAAAAACTGGCGCACTAATAATTTTAATAAAATTAATGAACACTTTAATTAATAAATTAATGATGCTTACTGAGTTGTAATGCTCGTCCTTTTATGCAACTTCGACCAAGCGGCTTGGTGCGAAAGGAATTGGATGAGAGGTTAGTATTATCAAAGAACCATGAGTTATGACTGAAACCTCTAAGCCTTACCGTGCGTGTTGCTGTAGGCTGCTCCCGGTTATTTAAAAACTTTTGAAATCAGTCTTTTAAATTTTTTCACTGCCCTTGCCTGTATTTAGTACCACAGTCAATTAAGTTCGTAGACTGACTTACGCCCCGAGTGTAGGCAGCCACGTATCACGGCGTCCTCGAGCTTATCGACTGTACTATGTATTTTAACGGGCAACTCACTGTCATGCGATCAACGAAGTTGGTAACGACGAATGGGAATTAGCTCATTGCCTTTACGTTGAATTAAAAGTATTAGATAAACATTTGTGAATACTGAAATTATTTATTTTGTTTTCTGGTTTTTTTTTTCATGCATATAAGTACGAAAATGGAGAAATTATAAAAAAAAAAAAAAATTACTATTCTAATGATTTCACAGTTATATCTACTTGACCGATGCATGAATAAAGTGACTAGGCACTTTGCAATTTAATATTTACATATGGCGGAACAATACACAATGTGCGTACAAGTAGATCTTAAGTAGGGCTTTCGCAGGTGCTAAATTAGCCGCGAACAGCATATCTGTGCATTGGAGGTAAAGGGCTATATATTAGAAATATGAAAATTTACAGCAGTGCTGTTCTCCCCGATAATGGCTGTTCACGGTAAAGTGAGCACTTTTGAAATCAACCTTGGGAAAAAGTCACTGCCTCTACCTGCATATATTTTAACGGGTGCAATGAGTGACATGTGTTCAGTAAAGTTGGTAAAGATGGAGGAAAAAGTAGGCTAGTTCCATATATTAACGTCGAAAAACAAGTGTTGGGTAACCATTTGTAATAACTTAAATTATTTATCTCGCTTTCTGCATTTTTTAATGCATCTATGTGTAAAAATGAGTAGATTTGTACAGTATTTACTTTTCTAATAATTTCACAGTTTCACTTGACCGACGCATGGATAAAGTGATGAGGTCCATGTCAGGCGGAAGAACACCCAATATGCATACAAGTATATCTTAAGCAGGCTTTCAAAAATGCTCATTTTACTGTGAGCAGCCTGTACCATAATGGTACATTGTGTCTTTTCCTACTGGCTAAATAGCTTAATGTTCCGTATCTATACATAGTATAAGACAAAGTCGGCCGGCCGCGTGTATCTGTATATTCGGCTAAGGCTTCTAACTACTTGATGGATTTTGATGCGGTTTACACAGTCATTCTGAGAATTTTTGAGGAAGGTAGGTATATAATACACTAATATTTAATGTAAGGATAGTAGAGAAATGTTAACGTTTTCTAATCAAGCCGTTTTTCGGGCGCTTACATGGTTCACGCTGACTAAACGATAAGAGATACACCAAATTAATGTACTACAGAATTGTAGAGTTCAAAAAGGTCTACAAAAAAGTCCGCGACAGCATATGTTTATCTTTTAAGGAGGACCCACAGTAACCATTTTTGTCTTTTTAAAATTATGGGTTCACTTACGAAGACGTTTTGAACAACACCGTATTAATCCTATGTTAGTTACCTTAAGCATATAGTGTATATTCTTGCTGTAAATCTAAACAACGCCACATTTGTAAATCGCACCTGAGCGAGGCCGGGGCGGGTCCCTAGTGGTATATATAATGCTTTGCAAACCCGAAAATAACGCGAAAAATATAATGAGACAATGTAAAGGCTGTTCACGATAAAGTGAGCACTTTTTAAATCAACCTTAGAAAAAAGCCTCTAGCCCTACCTGTATATATTTTAACGGGCGTACTGAGTGACATGCGCCCAGTAAAGTTGGTAACAATGAATGGGAAGTAGTTCCATATCTCAACGTCGAATAAAATGCGTCAGGTAACCATGTGAGATAACTTAAATTATTTCTTTCACTTTCTGTTTTTTTTTTTTTTTTTTTTTTTTAATGCATCGAACTGTAAAAATTATCAGATTTACGAAACATTTTCTTTTGTTAATAATTTCACAGTTACTCTTGATCGACGCATGAATAAAGTGATGAGGTCCATAGCAATAATAATTTTACATAAGGTGGAAGAATACACAACGTGCATACAAAGTTCCCGGTGGAAGCGGCACTTGCCTCGCCAAACCTCCCCTCTAGGTGGCCGATACCTATTAAAAGGTCATACCTAGAGCGCTACTTTTCAATGTTTACTTCAACTCCCGCCAAGCAAAAGCTATATCTGCTCTTTGATCTTAAGGGTCCACCGGGAACTTCGCAATTTTTAAACCGCCATGCTGTCCGAAAAATTTAAAGAAACACTACACCAAACTACTCACTCACGCAACTAACTACCGTATAAACATCGTGCATACAAGTAGATCTTAAACAGGGCTTTCAAATGTGCTCAGTTTACCGCGAACAGCCCATAAAAATAGTAGATTTTGTAAAACAGACGTAGTGCCAGATATATGTATCCCCACTACGGAGGACTGTCGCAGTACGCTACTGTGAATAAGCACGGCGTCTATCCGCGCGATGTACCCTCTGTGACGCAAGTTGACGGCCACATTTCTACGCTAGTAAACTGGGACGGACGCGCGCCCCGGCCTTGGCTGCCAGGATCTGCGTGTGCGCAACCGGGCCCCCTTCTCATTGTCGGCCAATTCGCTCCGCGTTGTCTTTGAGGACCTGGTATTCCCTGCGCGTTGTGAAACAAGGCGAGGCCCCTCCCGAATTCCAAACACTCTCTTGCCTAATCAGGCTGATCCCATCTCACCTCTCGCAACATTGTCTCCGTAGCTTCCAGCGAAATGATTAAATAACGCGGTGACGAATTATAGCGAAGGCTGTTCACGATAAAGTGAGTATTTTTTTAATGAACCGTAGAAAAATGTCACTGCTCCTACTTGGCATATATTTTAACGGACTCACTGAGTGACATGCGCCCAGTAAAGTTGGTAGCGATCGAGGTAAAGTAGTTCCATATCTTAATTTCGAATAAAAAGTGCTAAATAGCCACTTGTAATAACTTCAATTATTTATTTTTCCTTCTATTTTTTTAATGCGTCAAAATGTAACAATGCGTATATTTGCAAAATATTTACTTCTATAATAATTTCACAGTTTAACTTGACCGACGCATGAACATAGTGATGAGGCCTATGACAATGTTAATTTCACGCAAGGCGGAAGAACACACAATGTGCATACAGGTAGATATTAAGCAGGGTTTCCAAAAGCGCTCATTTGACCGTGAACAGTCTAAAGGCGTGAGTTTGGTCGCTATGGTGGAGGGTTATGGACGACTCCTAAGAAGATCTTCACTCTAACAAATTGTTCGCAAATATACCGCACCAGTGAGAGAGATCGGGTGGTAAAGTTTCTTCTCATACATCCGTGGTAGCGTTCCTACATTTACTCAGGAAACAGTCAAATGCATAGCGAGTTACAGATTGTGTATCGTGACGGTGCTAAATATCCCTGTATTGCAGCCTGGTATACCTAAGTATTTTCATACGGTGTATAGGTTAAAAACTTCCGTTACACTTTTACGAAATTTTCTAGAAATTTTTTTTTACTGTGTCAAGAACTGGCGAGGGTGAAACGAGGTGAATATGGAGCAGCTCCGGAATGCAAGGTCGGAGGAAATGGGTGATCCCCCGAGAAAATCCGCCGACCAGCGGCATCGTCCGGCACGGTTAACCTTGGTGGGAGGCGATTGCCCTAGCCGCTAGCTACGCCACCGCGGCCCCAGTTTGGGCTTTGGATTGTAGACCTTGCTTCCACTTACCTCCGAAAGTGATTCCCTTCAAATCCTGTTAAAAGGCAGGCATATTCTGTTGATTGCAACTTCCAATTCCTTAATGCCGACCTCCCGTAGTGCAGTCGGTTGGTGCGCCGCCGGTCTAGGGTGCGGGAGGCTCTGGGCTCGAATCCCAGGTAAGGCATGGGTGCTCATTTAAGTTAGGTCATAAGTTAGTTTATAAGCCTTCGCCTGATAAGCTTTCAGGCATAACACCGGGGGACATTAATAAGCCCTTTCCATGAACCCAAAACTAGAAACATGCCTATGGATATTTGTAGGTCTATGTGAAGGAGGAGAGAAACCCAAAGAATAAATTAAGAAATGCAGCAAAAAAAAACTTTTTGCTTGCAGCGTGAAACCGTTAAGGATGACTTCGAAAAATCTTTCCTACTTCGTTTCAACAAAAGGACTAGTTATAAATCTACGCAGGCTGTTTATGAGTATCCAGAGACTGCAAGTGGGTCGAAATTGATGTTATCGGGTGTCCACGGTACCCCAAGCACTTTTCAAACAAACCTTCGACAAAAAAATCGTTCATACTACATTACACACTAGTATGCACGCACACAGGTATGTTATAGTCTATTCGCGGTTTCTTCGCCCTTTTTGAATTAAACCTTTGAAAAATCT